CTGAACTTCGACTGAAGGCTCAGTCTGAATATCTTCTGATCACTCACTGCATTAATTAATGAATAACTGATCAGTGAAAGTTGCTCACCTGTTCCAAATAAGACGATTCACTGGACTTTTACTTTGTCTTCACGTCGTCCTACCTGAGCTCAACCAACATCAGCACTGGGAACAGGTGAAATAATCTCACCTGATTGGCCAGTTTTAAGACGCAGTATCAGACTGCAGGTTCAGGTGGACGTTTAAAACCTGGATTAGTCCTTTAATGTAAGAATCTCACCTGCGATCAGAGAGATCCACACACGGTTTGGTCCCGGTCCAGGCCCCAGTCCAGGTCCTGATCCTTGTCCAGGTCCTGGTCCTGGTCCTGGTTGGAGGATCCGGGGGCCATCCTGGTGCGTTCTCCAGGCCCCGGCATCCGCCATGCTACAGGGTGGCGAGCAGACTGCGAGGAAGCGGCCGGTCTGAGTTGAGGAGGTGTCGGGTGACCCAGATCAGGTTACTCTTGGTTCCAGAGGGGAATGAGGTGTGACTACAGCCTCCTCAGGTTTCAACACACATTCAGGTCTGAGCTGGACTTCCTGCTGTACACACTGTACATCAGCTCACCTGATGCAGGTGAGTTAGAAAGGTTAGCGGGAAGGTCAACACGACACCACGCTGATGACATCACGGAAACAAGACGGGGACCAAAGGAAGTCCAGGTCCAGAGCAGTTCATCTGTGTTCATCCTGTCTCACTGCAACTTGTTGGAATAAAAACCCAAAACAAACTACAATACCCAGTATTCGACACGAACAGAAAACTGGAGCAGTAAGGGGTTCAGGGGCCACCTGGCAGCGCTCTAGGAGCAGTAAGGGGTCTGGTGTAGACCTCCTGGGGCTGCTGTCGTTCTGGGTTGAAGATTCTGTGTGGAGGGTTCTGTATTGACACTTCTGGGTGGAGGGTTCTGGATGGAGGGTTCTATGTGGAGGGTTCTGGATGAAGGGTTCTGTGTGGAGGATTCTGTGTGGAGAGTTCTGGATGAACCGTTCTGGATGGACAGTTCTGGGTGGAAGATTCTGTGTGGAGGATTCTGTGTGGAGAGTTCTGGATGGACAGTTCTGGGTGGACAGTTCTGGGTGGAGGATTCTGTGTGGAGAGTTCTGGATGAACCGTTCTGGATGGACAGTTCTGGGTGGAGGGCTCTGGGTGGAAGATTCTGTGTGGAGAGTTCTGGATGGACGGTTCTGGGTGGAGGGCTCTGGGTGTAAGATTCTGTGTGGAGGGTTCTGGATGGAGGATTCTGTGTGGAGGGTTCTGGATGGAGGATTCTGGGTGGAGGGTTCTGTGTGGAGGATTCTGTGTGGAGGGTTCTGTGTGGAGGGTTCTGGTGGAGGATTCTGTGTGGAGGGTTCTGGGTGGAGGGTTCTGGATGGAGGATTCTGGGTGGAGGGTTCTGTGTGGAGGATTCTGTGTGGAGGGTTCTGTGTGGAGGATTCTGTGTGGAGACTTCTGGATGAACCGTTCTGGATGGACAGTTCTGGGTGGAGGGCTCTGGGTGGAAGATTCTGTGTGGAAGATTCTGTGGGGGTTCTGGATGGACAGTTCTGGGTGGAGGGTTCTGGGTGGAAGATTCTGTGTGGAGGTTCTGGATGGAGGATTCTGGGTGGAGGGTTCTGTGTGGAGGGTTCTGGATGGAGGGTTCTGTGTGGAGGATTCTGTGTGGAGGATTCTGTGTGGAGGGTTCTGTGTGGAGGGTTCTGTGTGGAAGATTCTGGGTGGAGGGTTTTGGGTGGAGGATCTGTGTGGAGGGTTCTGTGTGGAGGGTTCTGTGTGGAGGGTTCTGGATGGAGGGTTCTGTGTGGAGGGTTCTGTGTGGAGGATTCTGTGTGGAGGATTCTGTGTGGAGGGTTCTGTGTGGAAGATTCTGGGTGGAGGGTTTTGGGTGGAGGATTCTGTGTGGAGGATTCTGTGTGGAGGGTTCTGGATGGAGGGTTCTGTGTGGAGGGTTCTGTGTGGAGGATTCTGTGTGGAGGATTCTGTGTGGAGGGTTCTGTGTGGAGGGTTCTGGGTGGAGGGTTCTGTGTGGAGGGTTCTGGATGGAGGATTCTGGGTGGAGGGTTCTGTGTGGAGGGTTCTGGATGGAGGGTTCTGTGTGGAGGATTCTGTGTGGAGGGTTCTGGATGGAGGGTTCTGTGTGGAGGATTCTGTGTGGAGGGTTCTGTGTGGAGGGTTCTGTGTGGAGGATTCTGGGTGGAGGGTTCTGGGTGGAGGATTCTGTGTGGAGGGTTGTGTGTGGAGGGTTCTGTGTGGAGGGTTCTGTGTGGAGGGTTCTGGATGGAGGGTTCTGTGTGGAGGATTCTGTGTGGAGGGTTCTGTGTGGAGGGTTCTGTGTGGAAGATTCTGGG